ACTTTGGGAGGCCGAGGCAAGAAGACTGCCTGAGACAAGGGGTTTGAGACCAGCCAGGGCAACTTGATGAGACCTCGTCTCTACAACAAAGCAAAAAATTAGACAGGCATGGTGGCTCGCCTATAGTTCCAGCTACTTGGAAGGCTGAGGAGGAAGGATCACCTGAGCCCAGCAGGTCGAGGCTGTGGTAGCCGGGAGCATACCACTCCAGCCTGGGCAAGAGTGAAGACTCCAACTGGGGGAAAAAAAAAGAGTCAGCCGGGCTCAGTGGCTTAGCCTGTAATCCCGCGCCTTTGGGAGGCTGAGGTGAGTGGATTGCCTGAGCACGCGGGTTCAAGACCCACCTGGGCAACTTGGTGAGACCTCATCCCTACAATAAATAAAAAAATCAGCCGGGCGTGGTAGCGCATGCCTGTAATTCTGGCTACTTGGAAGGCTGAGGTGGAAGGATCGCCGGAGCCCAGCAGGTTGAGGCTGCAGTGGCCGGGAGCGGCCACTGCACTCCAGTCTGGGCGACAGAGTGAGACTCTAATTCAAAAAAAAAAAAAAGAGTCTAGTCCTAGACCTTCTCCCACAGCCTGCCGTCCTTTTGTGTAATGAGAGGACAAGAATAAATGAGCAAAACCCGCAAATAGAACTTTTACAGAAGAGACAAGAAGCAGATTTTCAAAGCACTCAGATATCCAGCACTAAAGTGAACATATGTTACCATCAAAACTCATTTGTAGGTCAGGCACGGTGGCTCACGTCTATAATCCCAGCACTTTGGGAAGTGGAGGAGAGAGGATTGCCTGAACCCACAGGTTCAAGATGAGCCTGGGCAACTTGGCAAGACCTCGTCTCTACAGTTAAGTCAAAAAATTAGCCGGGCGTGGTGGCACTTGCCTGTGGTCCCAGCTACTTGGAAGACTGAGGTGGAAGAACCACCTGTGCCCAGCAGGTCGCGGCTGCAGTGGCCATGAGCACTGCACTCCAGCCTGAGCACAGAGTAAGGCTTTGACTCAAAAACAAAACAAAACAAAACAACCTCAATTGTAATGCCTTCTATATAAATGTAACTTCCAACCATAGCAGCACACATCAAAATCTTGATCTGTCAAGTTTCATTTTAAAAAATCAAGATGTTGGCTGGGTGCAGTGGCTCACACCTATAATCCCAGCACTCTGGGAAGCTGAGGTGGGAAGACTACTTGACCCAGGAGTTCAAGACCAGCCTAGGCAACATAGAGAGACCTCATATCTACAAAAAGTCAAGAAAATAGCCAGACAAGGTGACACACACCTTCAGGAGGCTGCAGCAAGAGGATCATCTGAGCCTAGGAGGTGACGGACTACAACCCTCCAACTCAAAAAAATAAATTAAAAAAAAATAAAGATGTCTCGGGTTTTCTACCCAAATTCACTGCTCAAATTCTGCTGCATTAGAAGAAACGAAATCTGTATTTAAGATCAGTGCAAAAGCCCAGATCCAGTACCACAAAGACACAGAATGCCTGACTGCTTCCTTGCTCCATGTCAGAGACAGAGTATAACATGCAGCCTTTCTCTAACTCCACTCCCTGTGTCAAGGCAGGACTGGGAAGAGGGAAGGCAGCAAAGGTACAGCAGCCCAAGGTGGCTGTGAGACTAAGATCCAATCAAGAAGAGGGTCTAAGAATATCAGTGCCCAGTGCCATAATCTCCAAAAATGTTTTCCTAGTCAAAACTGGCATTTTAGCCAGGAAAAGAGGTTGGCCGCAAAGCCCCTTCTGAGACTACAGTTTTCAAGCCTTAGTTTTGCCCTTTGAGCAAGTTCTGCCTCTTCTGCAGCACTGAGAATGGACCTGCCTCCAAAAGGTACCAGAGTCAACACATGCAAGCACTTCAAAGCAGGGTAAGAGGTAGAAATCTATGGCCACCAAATCCCCATTTTTACTTGCCCACACCCTTCTACTTCCCTGCTCAATTACAAAGGATGTTTCCAACTCAGACAAATCTAGTACATCTTTATAAACATTCAGTCCCCATCTATGACATGCAGGTACAAAAAGACACAAAAAGGTGTAAAACACAGTCCTGCTGAAAAGAGGTTAGGTCCTACCAGAAGACATAAAACATTACTCTTAAAAGAGAAAATACTATTTTCTTTTTTGTTTAAGGGCAATAATTTTATTTCAGTTCAAAGGGAATGGAGTATATCTATATCCTCAGGGATTGAAATGTTTTGGGGGTGTTTTATAAAGGTCAGGAGAATCTGAGCTGGACTCTGGAGAAAAAAGAGAAGCTGAAGAAAAGGTCATGCCAAATAGGGGCAACAGTCACTGGATTCAGCAGCGAGAGGATTTGTATAGAGAAACAACATGTATGGAATGTTTAGCAAACAATTTGATTAGTGGAGATTAGGATAAACCCTGGGGAGATGGGTTCGAGCCAGTTGGACAGTAGTGCCTTGAATGCCACATTAGGACATCAGATCTCATCCTATATGCCTGCAGCAGTTCCTGATTTCAGTGTAGGATCTCCACAGTCTGCGGCATGCTTACTACCCTAATAGTTAAAAGTACTTAAGTTTACAGAGTAATTATGCAAAGACAAAGATGCTAAAATGAATGGAGAGTCCACTATTATAACAACAGTCTCACTCACTTGTACTTAAAAATACCCATCACAAGGCCGGGTTCAGTGGCTCAGCCTGTAATCCCAGCACTTTGGGAGGCCAAGGTAGTGGATTGCCTGAGCCCACGGGTTCGAGACCCACCAGGGTAACTTGGCAAGACCTAGTCTCCACAATGAATCAAAAATTAGCTGGGTGTGGTAGCGCACGCCTGTAGTTCCGGCTACTTCGAAAGCTGAGGCGGAAGGATAGCCTGAGCCCAGCAGGTCGAGGCTGCGGTGGCCGGTAGCGTGTCACTGCCCTCCAGTCTGGGCAACAGAGTGAGACTCCAACTCAAAAAAAAAAAGCCCATCACAGAAGTACTCCTTATAGTTACCTTTGGGTATTAACTATGTTAAATCAAGTACCATCCACTACTCATAAATATTCATGAGGCAGTAAAAGCATTAAACAAAAGCAATAAAAGTTCTTGCATATTCTATGATTTCCTTGGGACAGTAGTTCTAACAGGGTTAGACCGTAGATGGATTTAATGGACCCTTGCACTCGTAAAACTGTATGCAGAAGTCACTGGTGTGAACTTAATTAAGGAGTGTGTCTCTTTCTATATATCAAAGAGGTCCAATAACCAAAACAGGATAGAAGCTTACCTTAGGGTTATTTTAACAGAAACCAGCAAGAATGTAGCTCTATTTAATCCTGTGGCTGCCTTAATTTTCTAAAGGAAGTGTTCATCAAAGTGGGAGCTTGGGACAATTTTGAGAAGCTCCTAATATCTTACTATCTCCTTTCTTTTCAAGAACCGCCCAAGGAATTGGTCAAACCTCATCAAGATTCAAGAAATAAGGGAGGTAAATGAAATACATAACTAAAGACTACTCAAGTTCTCTCCCTCTCTTCTATTATGCAAATGAAGTATAATCTCAGGCAGAGCGCAACAAGCTGCCAGCCTCCTCTAGTTTCAGCATGTGCTTCCCAAAAGGATCACCTGACAAAGGAGATAGTTTCTTTCTAAATTAAACATTCTAAAGTGACAAGGTCCTAACAGAAGTGCACAAAGTATTGTTGCTTGACTTCTTGGTCATCCCATGCAGGCTTGCTGTATGGTCACATACAAGAAGCCGGTCACATACAAGAAGCCTGTCCAAAGAACGCAAGGAACCACAGGTCAAGGGAAGTGCGTTTTGGAACAATCAGAATTCTTCCTAGACCTGCACACACTGTCTGGGATCTCCAATCCTTCCACCCTCACAGGAAAGGGCCTGACAGTCTGTTCATTTAGTACTGTTAGAAGAAATTTGGCAGCTCAATACCATCCACAACAATAAAAATAAGTTTCATTTATTTTTCCGGTTCTAAGACACTCTTACATTTCCTGCCTTCTAATCAAACTGGCAGAACATCTCTTTAGAAGATAAAATTAGGCCAGAAGCAGTGGCTCACGCCTGTAATCCCAACACTCAGCACTCTGGGAGGTGGTGAGAGGGCTGTCTGAGCCAAGGGGTTCAAGACCAGCCTGGGCAACTTAAAGAGACCTCTTCTCTACAATAAATCAAGAAAAAATAACCAGGCATGGTGGCGCAAACCTGTAGTTCCAGTTACTTGGAAGGCTGAGGCGTAAGGATCGCCTGAGTCCAGCAGATAGAGGCTGAGTTGGCAGTGAACGTGCCTCTGTACTCCAGCCAGGGCAACAGAGTGAGAATCTGATTCAAAAAAAAAGAAAAAAAATCAAGTCATCACCATACTATTTGCTTTCTCCTAAAGCAAAAAGGGGGAGACATTACCACTATCCAAAAAGTGGTGGTCAAGAATCAAATAAATTATGATTCAAAATAAAACTCAGGCATTATAAACATTTAAATAAGACCTTTGGGAGGAAGCAAACGGTGAGCTCTGAGAAGCACGTGAGGCTCCGAACGGGTCTTGGGAGCAAGGAGACAGACAAGGGGGTCACCAGCCAGCCTGGCTCGCGGGGGTTTTGGCCTGTTTGTCTAGTCTTGCTATCTAGCGGTCCGAAAATCTCCCGCAAGAGCGATATCTAAGAAAGCGGTAAGTGTATTTCCCACCCAAGAACACAACGCCCAGGAGAGCATCAGGCTGGCACCAGACACGATTCAGCGCTCTGAATCAGCAGAGCCCAAGGTTTCGGCCAGGTACGCTGATTTCCCGCTACTTCGCCGGCCAGTCCTCAGGCACTAGCTCTCCGACCTCCACCCTGGCTGTCCCCATGGCTTCAGTGCCAGCATCAAGGAGGCTTGACGGGCGGCTGCTCAGGAGGCTCGAGAGACGTTCCAGTGATGCTCGGTCAAAGCCCGGGCTCCACGCACGTCCACTCCAAACCCGCGCCCGCCGCCGCCCTCCCCGCAGGCGTCAGGCCGGTCTATCGGCCCCGGCTCCTGTCACTTACCGGCCCGGCCCGGGCAGCGGGCGCCCACGGCTCCCCACGGGGGCTGGGCCCCCTGGGCCTCCAGGTTTAGGCCCGCCCCCTGGCAGGCAGCGCAGGTGGCTGAGCCCCGCAGCAGCGGCCCTGCACCGGCCGCGCCGTCCAGCTCCCGGCGCTGGCCACTAAGGTACGGATCAACAACAAGATGGCGGCCAGCCGAGGGGGCGGGGGTCGGGCGTCATAGTAACCAGGACGGCAAAGAACCCGCCCTTGAGTGAAGCTGTCCCTAATCAACAGCCTCTTCGCTCGACGCCTGGGACAGCTCGTCCCGCTGACAGGTCAGCTGGCCTGTCAGTCAGAGCCTACCTCTCAGGGCCCTTGCCGAACGCCTGGGGCACGTGACTGTGACGGCAGGAGTTGACGCATGCGCGCCATTCTCCGAGTTGCTGGCGGTGGCGGTTTTGCTGGCAACTCCGAGGCCAGAGCGCCCTTGGCGTTTGCTTGTGGTCCCTTTGTTGAGTCTGCAGCGTCTTCTCATACACTCGCGCACACTTAGGAAATGTTAGCAGTATGCTATTTTCTTTTTTGGTCGCCCACCCTAGGAGGGAGGGAGTTGTCCTGGCTTCCCTCTGGTGAGGAAACTGAGCCTCAGAGAGGGGAGGCCCAGCCGAGGTCACGCCACCTCTGGAATTGGAGGCGCTGGGCTCGCGCTGGGTCTCGCACCACCTCTACTGGTTCCAGAGAATAAAGAACCTCTTCCCAATGGCTTCTCCAGCTTTGTTCCTCACTAGTCTGGAGGTACAGCCATCTGTGCTGTCCCAGCAGCCTCTGGCCCGTTGCCCAAGCTTTCCTGCTTGAAGTTCACTACCCAGCACAAGTCCTGACGCTCACTGGGCACTCCTTGTATATCCTAGAGCATTTTGTCTTGAGTTCCTATCTTTTTCCCATCTTTTGCTCTGGACTGTCTTGACCTGCCTCACAGGCCGATTAATGGTCCCAGGAAAATGGGCATACCTTGTTCCTCATACAGAGCACCTAACCGTGGACTTGGCTTCAGGGTTAGGATACCAGATGAAGTCATATAGCTTGGGTCCACACCCGAATGCTCCAACTAGCTAACTCTGACTTTTGAGCCTCAACCTCTGTGAGCTTTGGTTGCCCCATTTGTAAAATGAAGATAAAAGTCGAGCTTCTCAGAGGAAGATTAAATGAAGCCTTAGAGCAGGGTAAGGACTCAGGAAAAATCTGCCTACGACCGTTTCCTGTAACAACTTGCTTACAGGTTGCTGCCCCTAAGGCCTGCTTTAACTCACTTTGGTGGGCGCCCCATGAAGAATGTTTTTCCCACAGAAGGCACTCAACTAATTCTGGGCCTTGGATACCATAACTAGCTCATGAAGGGAGGTCTCCACTTCCCTCAGAGGGTTTAGGCCCATAGACTTGACAGAGGGGGAAAGATTGAGAAAACGTGGGAATACCATAGTAAAGTCCTCTTGGAAAGTTAACAGTATACTGAGACCTGATGCCAGACTGGGCATGGGAAATAGGCCAGCTTTGCACCCAGCAAGACCTGCCTTCCTGTAGGTTGCTGTAGGCCATGTGGCTACACGCTGCAACTCAGCTCACCACAGCCGAGAGCTGAGGAACCAAAAGAAACAGATCACAAAGAAAAGGCTATACTCCTCAGAAGGGAGTGTCTGTTAATCCCTCCAGGACCAGCCATGCCACAGTGTTTTCACTTCTGTGCAACCCTTCAACCCAGTGCAGAAACTCCAGATCCCTCTCAGGAAAACCTTCACATACAGTTGGTAAACTTCGCTGAAGTTTGGTGGGGCTCTCAAAAAGCAATAGTGTTCTCCTCTGGATAGGAAAGGAAGCAGGTGACCTCTGAGGAGACATGTCAACTGGAGGCTTCCCCAGTCACTGACAAGTCAAGATGACAACCTCTTACCTCTGTCGCAATGTCTTGAGGTTAGCCTGGGCAACATAACTAGACTCTGTCTCTAAAAAAAGAAAAAAAATACACCAGGCCAGGTGTGATGGCTCACACCTATAATTCCAACACTTTGGAGGAAGATTGCTTGAGCTGAAGAGTTCAAAACCAACCTGGGCAACATAGACCTCATTTCTACAAAAAATTTTTTAAAAATTAGCTGGTTGTGGTGGTGAGTGCCTGTAGTCTCAACCACTCAGGAGGCTGACACAGGAGGATCACTTGAGTCCAGGGGTTGGGGCTGCAGTGAACCGTGATGGTGCCACTCTACTCCAGCCTGGGTGACAGAGTGATACTCTGGCTAAAAAAAATAAGAAGAAGAAAAAGAAAACGTTAGTTTCCTAGAACGTGCTTAAAAGATAGGGCATTCTCCAGGTGTGAACAAGGAATCACAGTGCTTCTCCCACACATAGATTACAAGGCTGGTGACTCTTCTGTTTTTAATTTTGTTTATTATTGAATTTACTTGAAAACATAGCCCATGATCATGTGACAAAAGAAATTTCACACATAGTGAAGCAGTTGCTTGGCCTCAGACCCAGCGTCTGGCTCCTGTGCGTGTGTTGAACAGATAGTCTCTGCCTGTACCTGAGCCCAGATGACCAAAAGAGAGCGAGAGAAAGAAAGAGAGAGAGTGAGTGAGTGAGTGGGCGGGTGCTGCTGACCTGAGCAGAACTGCCTTCCTCCCCTAGGGATGAGGGAAGACATTCTAGGACCTTCAGTGTGACCTCGCCTTTTGCTGGAATCCAACCTGTCCCCTCCCTCCCTTCTCAGCAAATTCTCTGACGTCTGACTCGAATGCACAGGAGGACTCCTTGATTCTCCAATACTGGACACCAGCTTCCCTAAGACCAGTGCCAGACCACTTTCCCATAATTCACTGGTGACACTGGCCCATCTGGGAGCGTCTCTCCTCACCTCCATCCCTCCTCCCGCTGTGGCAGGGACCAGACCAGGTATGAGTCATCTCCTGGCCCCACAGGTGTTTGTCAGAGGCTGGATGAAAGGTGAATGGGGGTGAGAGCAGAACATATTCAGGGAAAAAGTAGATAGATGGTAGATGCCTAAGATGGAATGAGAGTCCAGGCAGATAGTAGATGGGGAAGAGGGGAACTCACAGGAGTCCTGTGCTCTGCCATCAAAATGCTGCTGAGGAAGAAATGAGAAGTGTAATGAGTTGAACCCTGCCCACAGGAAAGCAAATGAAGGCCTGCCCTTGGAGGGACCCGGAACCCATCTGCCTCCTTCATCCTGTTGGTGCTGGTGTGGGCATTCCCGCAAGGGTAGCCAATCATATAGGAGAGTACTCTGGAGGAGCGTCCATGTCTACTACTCGGGATGGCAAGTTGACATACCACTGGGCTCATGATGCTGCTGGGCGTGTGGGATATCTCTCTCCTTGGTGCCTCCTTGAACCCCTCAATGGACCCCTCCATTCCCTGGATGCTAGGGCAAAATAGGAGCAAGAGTACATGATAAGGCTCTGGGCCCCAGTTTGAGTTTAAGAGGTGGGCTCCCAAGCACAGAAGTATGCAAAAGAGACTGACCTGTTTAGCAGCAGAACCTTGGCAGGCTTGCTTGGTACCTGCAGCACCTGGGCCAACCTAAAATGCCAGGAGGAGGAACCAAGCGGTGAGGGCAGCAGGCCAACTGGCTCCAGGAACCAGCACCATTCATCTGTCCTTTACATTAGAAACAATGTATATATGCAGTGCCCACGTTGTCACACCCTTTTCCTCTGGGCTCAGTACTGTGCCTACAAGGAACTCAGAGACCGTAGGAGCAGGGCAGGTTTCCACTGGAGAGTGGGAGTCAGGAATAGGGGTAAATGCCCAAAGCATGACAGACTCAAGAGTTTCAGGTCCTGAGCCTGCCATGCTTATCCCGTTCCAAAACTGGACTCTACCAGCAATGGAGGTCGTTTCCTCCCAGTGTCTCTCTGACTCTAATCTGAAGACTTCTGGAGGCAGAGCAACCTGCCCATCAACTCAGGCATTGTCATCAAATCCTGGGTAAAACCACCTATCATAGACGGTGTCCATAGGTGGGCAGGGAGCAAGCAAGGAGCACAGGGATAGGAACCTTACCCCTGGAGGAGCCTGTTGAGGAGCCAGCCCAGAGCCAAGAGGAGGAGGGTACCAGTTGCTGTCAGCACCACCACAAACCAGGGCTCTGGCTGCCAGAAAGCCAGTGTGTCTGTCACAAGCAGGGGTGTCATCATTGAGGGCACCTGAAATGGAGGCCACAGCCTCAACACTGTCCTACCAAAACTCCCTGACCATCCAGCCCTCAAACCCCTCCATGGACTGGGCCACAATCCAGATTTGCTCTTCTATATTGCCAGACTCTTTGCATTCAACAGTTTCCTCTGAAATGCCTTCCTCTGTCATTCCACCTAAAAAACTGGTTCCCTTCACCCTCCAAGTTCCTCTCTTCTCACCCCCTGAAGGCCTAAAGAACCCTCTCACTGTGCTTCTGTGGGTGCTGGTGGCTTCTGTGCTGGCCTTCCAGGGAGCTAGATGTACAACGATGGTGGCTGTAGTGCTGAGATGGGGGATGGAGGGACCTGCATCAGCCACACGGACCAATAGCTCGTAGGTAGAGGGCCATTCTGGCCAGGAGGGTCCCAACACAGGGCCATTGTGTACAAGGACAGCCCCCTGCAGGCTGAACTGGTTCTGGTTATTCCCTGAAAGCAGAGTGGCAGGAGAAGGAGACCATTGCTAGCCTTGGCCTGCTCCTCACCCACATACCAGTGGCACCCATGGCCCCCACCTCCCACGATGCTATAGGAGAAGGTCCGGCGCTGTGGCTCCTGGGGGATATGGCATGACACCTTGGTCACCTCTATGCTGCGGCTTAGAAGAGAGTAGCTTGTGAGTTCCTGAAATGGGGGCTCACACTCAGGGGCATGGTCATTCACATCCTGCAGAAAGGCAATCAGGTTAGGAGTGAGTGTGACCCACTCTTCAACTTCCAGCTCAGTCGCTCAGCTTCCTTCCACCACAGCCAGAGCCTAACAGTCTCCACAGTTTTCCACAGTGAGGCCCCACTCTCCTCCAGCCAACTAATGGAAGAAACTGAGGTACACAGTGGGAAAGCAGAATATCAGAGGGTTATTTGAACTCTCATCTTTCCAAATATTTCCAAATCATCAGGGCTCGATTACCTCAACCTCAATGGTAATGGTACAGGAGCCTGAGCGGTGATGGGTGGGGTCCTGGTCTTGGCCATGGTCAATCAGCAGGACAGTCAGCCTGTACAGCCTCTGCTGCTCATAGTCCAAAGGCCCCAGCAGGTGGACTTCCCCTAGAAGGGAAGGTCACAACCTCAGCTTACAGAGCCAACTCTGGCTCCACCCTTCCATCCCAGCCTTGGAATAGAAGTACCACTGAAACGGTCCACAGCAAAGGTGGCAGGCCCACCAGAGATGTAGTACTCAATGCTGTCACGTGGGTAATCCATATCCGTGCCCACTACGGAACCCAGTAGAGTCTGGAGTCCTGCATCCTCCCGAACCCGAAATGTGCGTGGGGCACAGGCTGGGGAGAACTCATTGACAGGTGTCACCATCACCAGTACTGGCACTTCAGCTGGAGGTTGTTTGACAGTAAAAGAGCTGGCCTTGGGTGCCTAGCCCTTACTTAGGGGTCTGGGGAGGGAGACATGGCCCTGCCCTGGGGGTTTAAGGAGGGGGAGGTTCTGGAGGGAGAGCAATAGCCGCCCTGGTCTGCCGGGAGTCTGAGAGAGATAGCTGAGGGGTCCGAAATGGAGACAACTCTGTCCTACTGGATTCTGAAGGAAGAGGAATGGCCCTGTCCTGAGGATGGGAAGGGTCCTCAACTTCATCCTGAACATCCAGGCCAGGTATGGTCACTCACTGCTCATCTGGGGCTGACCACCATCGAGTACCAGGATGGAGGCTGAATGCTGGAAGCAGGTCCCAGGAGTGTCACAGTCCAGTGTAGCATTCACCTGGCCAGAAGGGCCAGAGAGTGAGGCCCAACCAGAGCCTGAGAGAACCTTGAGCCGCAGTGGGATCCCTCGGGTCCAGGGCATCCACAGATAGCCTACCCTGATCCTCTTGTCCAGACCGCAAAGCATATTGGCTCAACAGCCACCTCTCTCCTTCCCTCCACCCCAACCCCATTGTCTCAGCTCCCACTGACCTTTGGCCCACCCTCCCCTTCCTGCTGCAAGCACCCTGCAAATGGGGGAGCAGAGCCTGGGCACCTCAAGGACTCTGTCGCGAAGGCAGAGGCTGGCAGAGTCAGGAGGGCTGTGTAACCACAGCTGGTAGTCTAGGGTGGCATCAGCAGAGTCCGGATCGGTGCAAGTGAGAGTATCCAGTACAGTGCCCACAGCCGCGGTCTCGGGGATTTGAGACCTGGGAGTATTAGGCAGACAGCATGGTCAGAGTCTGACTTAGCTGTGTGTCAAGGCTCTCGCCCCAAGAGTCCCAGTAAGGTTCCCGTGTACTCACACTAGGAGCGCTGGGAGGCAACGTGGGGGCCATTGGTTGACCGACCTCACGTTCACAGTGAGATCAAGCTCGGCACTGGCCCATTGCCGAAGCCTCTCGAAGGCCTTCACCTGCAGCCTGGTGACCGCCACGCCTGGCGCCTGAGCCAGCCTCAGGGGCGCAGTGGTCTGGACCACGCCGTCAACTGGACAAGATGGGAGGGCGGGGACGGAGTTCGCCCTGACCCCAAGTCTGTCCTGCTCCGACCCTCCCTCTAGATCCACTGGTGGAAGAGGGCGCTGTCTGGCCCTCCTGCTACATTCTCCAAAGTCTGGCCCCCAAACCAGAGAGCGAAGAGGTAGCACAGGTGGTGGCCGCTGAGACATCCCCTCAGAGGCCCTGGTACACTCCCCTGCCCCCAAGCTCCTCACCACGTCCGATGGAGAAAAGTGGGCTGGGCACCGGGAAGAGAATTTCATAGCGCACATCGAAGCCCCGGGCCCGGACCTGAAACACCTCGCTCCCAGGGACCAGGTTCTCAGGGATGGTGATATTCTGGGCCTGCTCCCTGGACCAAAAAGAGGGTACTGGTTCCTGCCAGCTCCTGCAACTTTGGAAGTAGGTCCAAAGGCTACTTCCCCTGACATTTCCCTCCTACCGGAAGCTAGAACTATCCTACCTGATTCCCTGGGGGCTAGGCCCTGCCTCTCCCATTGTTCTTACAGTAGGGGAACCTTACAGGAAGGAGACCTGGCTGGAGAGAACAGGTAAAACTTTCACTGTCACCATTCCATGACAGCTTTGGCCTTTTCCAAAGGACACTGAGATCTGCAGCTGGAAGACCTGTAGTACACATAGAAAAGAAAGGGATCTGTGGTGTCTGTCCACCTCTTTGGCTATACCCAGCAGGAGCTCCACGAGGAGCCCGACATTCATTCTCCCTTACCACAATATCCCTGACACTCATTCTTCCTCATGACCTGCTGAAAACATGTCCCAAAGAGTTAAAGACACCAATGACTAACAGAAATTCTGAAGTTTGCAGGATGGCAGGTACAAAAGAAACAACTTGCTGAAACTCCCTTCCTCATGAGATAAAAGAACTGACTGAAATCGGTTGGAACCAATATGACCAACTGGAATTTGGGCAGAATGAGCTTGCTGATGGCACAGCCTGAATTTCCACTGCATGTTTCATACTAACTCCCCCTGAATTTGCACATGTGACCCATGAGGTAGCATGAAGAGATAATTGTGCATGCCGAAGGAGTTTTCAGTCCTCCCCTTTCATTCTACCAATCACCTATTAATCTCAGAATCCACTCCATAAAACTTTTCTAATAAAAATACTGCCTTGAAGGCAGCACAGAGAGACAAATTTGAACTTGACTCCTGTGTTCATTTGAGTCAACCTGCAATATAAAGCTTTTTTTCCCCCCCTTAAAAACCCAGTCTCAGTCTGGGCAACATAGCAAGACTTCATGTCTACAAAAAATTTTTAAATGAGCCAGGCATGGTGGTGTGCACCTATAATCCTAGCTATTTGGGAGGCTGAAGTAGAAGGATCACCTGAGCCCAGGAGGTCAAGGTTACAGTGAGCCATGACTGTGCCGCTACACTCTAGCCAGGGCAACAGAGTGAGACCTTGACTCAGAAAAAAAAGAGCCCTTTTGCTTAATAACATGGTCACCCTTTTGCTTAATAACATGGTCACCCTTTTGCTTAATAACATGGTCAACCTGATCAGGCACAGTGGCTCAGCCTGTAATTTCAGCACTTTGGGAGGCCGAGGTGAGAGAATTTCCTGAACCCAGGGGTAGACCAGCCTGGGCAACTTGGTGAGATCTTGTCTCTACAATAAAATCACACACACACACACACACACACACACACACACACACACACACACATACACAACTAGCCAGGCATGGTGGCATGAGTTTGTAGTTCCAGCTACTTGGAAGGTTGAGGTGGAAGGATCACCTAAGCCCAGCAGGTCAAGACTGCGGTGGTCGTCAGTGTGACACCGCACTCCAGCCTGGATGACAAGAGTGAGACTACAACTCAAAAAAAAATAACATTGTCACTCTGCTGACAAGTATTCCTTTGAGCCCTATACCTTTGACCTAAATTCTTCTATTAGGATGCAAACAGCCCAAGAAAGAGTGATATCTGAGTCATTCACCATGAGCTATCATCTTAGAGTTACTAAGAGTGAATCACTGAGAGGTGGAAATTTTATTTTATTTTATTTTATTTTATTTTATTTATTTATTTTTTGAGTTGGAGTCTCATTCTGTCGCCCAGACTGGAGTACAGTGGCCGCTCTCGTCCACCGCAGCCTCGACCTGCTGGGCTCTGGCAATCCTTCTGCCTCAGCCTTTCAAGTACTGGAACTACAGGCGCATGCTACCACACCCAGCTAATTTCTGATTTTATTGTAGAGATGAGGTCTCACCAAGTTGCCCAGGCGGGTCTCGAACCCACGGGCTCAGGCAATCCACTCACCTAAGCCTCCCAAAGTGCTGGGATTACAGGCTGAGGCACCGAGCCCGGCTGAGAGGTGGAAATTTTAAAGAGGGAACTTCTCTAACCTCCTCCCGACTGTAATGGCCATTTTACAGAAATTTTTTCTTTTTTCTCTCTTTATCTCTCTCTTTGTTTTTTGTTTTTTTTTGAGTAAGGGTCTCACACTGTCACCCAGGCTGGAGTAAAGTGGCTTGATCATGGCTCACTGCAGCCTTGATCTCCTGGGCTTAGGTGATCCTTTTGCTTCAGCCCCCCTAGTAGCTGGGACTACAGGCACGTGCCACCATGCCCAGCTAACTTTTATTTACTTATTTATTTATTTATTTACTTATTTATTTTTTTAGTTGGAGTCTCACTCTGTCACCCAGACTGGAGTGCAGGGGCACACTCACAGTCACTGCAGCCTTGACGTACCGGGCTCTGGCGATCCTTCCGCCTCAGCCTTCCAAGTAGCTAGAATTACAGGCACGTGCTACCACGCCCGGCTAATTTTTTGATTTATTGTAGAGATGAGGTCTCACCAAGTTACCCGGCAGGTCTCGAACCTGCAGGCTCAGGCAATCCACTCACCTCAGCCTCCCAAAGTGCTGGGATTATAGGCTGAGCCACCAAACCCAGCTAACTTTTATTTTTTTAATTTAATTTTTTGTGTATGTGTGTGTGGAGAAAAGGTCTTGCTATGCTGCCTAGGCTGGTCTCAAGCTCCTAGGTTCAAGCAATCCTTCTGCCTCACCCTCTCAAAGTGCTGGAATTACAGGCATGAGGCATGAGCCACCCACCTGGCCCCCAGGACCTTTTCTTAATGTGTGATTGCCATTAAGCACTCTCTTTTCTATTAGAAAGCCTGTGATCTCTCAGGGCCAGGGACTCCTCTTCTTTCTAGAACTCCAGAGCCCAGCATAGAACCAGGCTAAATTGGGGAATAGCCAGCATGGGGCAATGGGTGCAAGCCTGAGAGAGACAGCATTAGTCAAGGAGACCAAGAACAAATTTCCAGAAGGTAGTGTCTCTAGCCAATCCATGGACTCCCCCAGGTCATGCTCACCTTTTGACCCTGGCCTAGGAGGCCCTGGGATGGCGCCTGCAGCCAACCTTGCTCGTTGATGGAGAAAGGTCCAGGGAAGTATGGAGAGTCCTGGGCACTAATAATGCTCAGCTGACAGAACAGAGATGCTGGTGACCACCAAGCACTCCTGTCAGCATCCTCCAACAACCCAGCAGGCACCTGCCCACACCCAGTTCTCCCCTGACCCACCACTGACCCTTACCCAGCCTGGGCTCTCTGACCTCCACCCCAAGCCCCATCTCCAATCCTCAATCCTTTTTGCTTTTAAACCAATTAGTTTGTTTTTAAACTACATTTTTTTTTGAATTACAGACGTGATACAGAATTGTCATGGAGCACTCAGAACACATAAAAGAATTTGAAAGAACTCAGCCCCTGTGATGTCCCTGTAGGAGTAGCCGTGGCCACTGAGGGGGTGAACTGCCCTCAGTAACTCTCCAAGAACACATATCATGCAGAGGCTTAGCTATGTCTCTGCTCCAGAGTTCCTCTGCAGGCTGTACCTAGCTAGGCAGTGCTGAATTTGCCCTCCCCCATGCCCCACGTCACCATTCTATCACTCACTGTCCCATGTGCTCCTCTCACCTGGGATCCTTGTAGTTCTAGGCCTGAGAGCAGCAGAGTGTACAGCCGGGCCCCCGGTGCAATTGTCTCTGGCACCTGAATAATTTCTCCAACTGGCCAGAGGGGAGGTCAGGGAGTATCTGTTCAGGTCATGCCTGCTTACCCCCTGCCTACTGTCCCTGGCCTCACCTGGGCTGGCAAATTGACCAGCACACTGGATATGATCAGGGTCCCGCTGCACATCTATAGAGAGTGGTCCTTCCATCGAACGGTTGCCACATATGAACCGCAGCTGCAGGTCATAGTGGTTCACTGTCAGGGCATCCAGCCGAGCTGAGCTGCTCAAGGTCACCTATGATGGGTGGGCATGCCATGTGGGGCTTAGGTCTGCCCTTGTCCCCCCACAATCCCCAGCTGTACCCATGACCCTACCTTGCCCACATAGATCCCTTGCCACTTGGCCAGGCTGGGTGGGTTGAAGAAGGTGGTCGGTGGCTGCACGTTGAGCAACTCCAGGGTGGGTGTGTGGGAAGAGCAGTGGAAGGAGAAAAATTGAAGGATGGTGCCAGGGCCCTGGCTCTCAGAGACATTTATAAACCAGGGCAGGCTGTGGAGGTCTGTGAGGAGCAGACAATTCAGGCTGGAGGCCTCCCATGCTCATGGAACCACAAATACTAGCAGAGTCCTGGCCTTTTGCCACAAGAACTGGTCACATCTTGGGGCTAAGCAACAGAGGTCTTTCCTTGTTCCCCACATTTCACAGACAGGGAGTAAGATCTTGGTTAAGGATGCAACCAAGATAAGAAATGAAGGTTAGGAGTTCAGACTCATGCTTTTCTGCCTTTTCCCAACCTCTGCCCTCCATGGTAGCTTATATAATACAGGTCAGGACTTCAAGGGAAAACTAGGGTCCCCCTCCCACCAGCTCCTCACCAGAGACAACCAGAGCAAAAAGGAGTACAAGGAGCCTGAGCAGCACCATGGTGGCCTGAAATGAAGGCTTCAGGAAGCCAAGCTGTTTGTCAGGCCCGTCCCGTTGCCAGGTCAGTTGCTCAAACACAGCTGGCAGGCAGGACTCCTGGACCTCCCAGATTCTAGCCCCACCCATTCTTGGTGACTAAGTTCTAGACCTCTGGCAGGTTTCTAGAGTCCCAGAAAATCTCATTTTCTGCTGCCCCCAATGAATTCCCCTATTCATTACCACAACCCTAAGGGGATGTGAGGGGAAGAAGATCAAGGTTCAGATTGGAAACTGGTCATGCAATCCTTGGAGACAGACAGAACAAGCACAGCACCCAGGAAAATTGGGCCCAGGACTTGCTACCCAACAGAGTCTGAACTCCAGCTGCACCCCCACCATTAGAACATTATCAGCCTATAAAAATGAGCCCAACCATCAACAAAATATCTCAGAAGTTGTCTACATCCAACAAGCAAAAGGAATCCTTTGTGATAGAAATAAAAATATTGGTTACCTTTGGGGATATCAATTGAAGGAGGCACAAGGTTGCTTCCTGGAATGACTGAGGATGTTCTATGTCTTTTTTTTTTTTTTTTTTTGAAGTTGGAGTTTCACTCTGTCGCCCAGACTGGAGTGCAGTAGCACATTCCTGACCACCACAGCCTCGACCTGCTGGGCTCTGGTGATCCTTTCACCTCAGCCTTCCAAGTAGTCGGAACTATAGGTGCGCGCTACCACGCCCAACTGGTTTTTTATTTATTATAGAGACAAGGTCACACCAAGTTGCCTGGGTGGGTCTTGAATCCGTGGGCTCAGGCAATCCACTCGCCTCGGCCTCCCAAAGTGCTGGGATTACAGGCTGAGCCACTTTTTTGTTTTCTTGAGTTGGAGTCTCATTCCGACGCCCAGGCTGGAGTGCAGTAGCACACTCACGGCTGCCCTAGCATCAACCTGCTGGGCTCCAGTGATCCTTCTGCCTCAGCCTTCCAAGTAGCCAGAACTATAGGCTTGAGCTACCATGCCTGGCTAATTTTTGATTTATTGTAGAGACGAGGTCTTGCCAAGTTGCCCAGGCTGGTTGCAAACCTGTGGGCACTGGCAGTCCACTCACCTCGGCCTCCCAAAGTGTTGGGATTATGGGCTGAGCCACCGTGCCCAGTCGATGTTCTGTACCTTGATATGAATAGCAGTTGCACAAGTGTCTACAGATTTTAACATTTATTGAGCTATGCCTTTGAGATTTGTCCATTTTTTTTGTATTTATATGTCATTTTTAAAAAGTCTTCATTTGCTCTCTCCATTCTTCTCTACCCACTGTAATCAGACTTGTGCCTCTCTACACAAAACAGTCCTTGTCAGGGTCCCCAGTGACCTGCATACTGCCGAACCAGTGGTTTGTCCTCTACCCTCATCTCCTCAGCAGTGTTTGACACTTGCTCCCTTTGGCTCTTGGGTCCCCATGCTCTCTTGGGCTTCTATCACCTTCTTGATTGCTCCTGCTCAGCTCCTTTGCTGATTCTGCTTCATCATAGAATTTTCCAGGGTACTATCCTGACTGCTGCCCCCTTTGTTGACAGGCATCCCGCCCATATCATCCAGGCCCATGGCCTTCAATACTATCCATTCGCTATGCCTTCCAGATCCAAGGCACTAGTGCTGATCTCTTTCCCAAACACCTAGTAGCTGACCCTTCAACTCCTCTGGAATATCTAACATACACCTCAAGGGTCACGTGTCTATAAATGATCATTTGGCTTACACCCCCAACCCCACTGTTCTCCAGTCTTTCTCAGATCAATTTATGGTAATTCTATCCAACCAGTTGTTTAAGGACAGAAATGTATGAGTCATACTTGATGCCCCTCTTTCCTTACTTACATCCATGCATCAGCAAGACTTGATTTTAGCTCTAAAAAATACCCTAAAGTGACCCCCATTAGTGTACCTACCCTGTCCAGGCTCAAACCCTCCCTTCCCTTACATGGATGAGGGCAGGAGCCTCCACTCTCTTTTTTTAACTGGAATTTAAATATATTTATTTATTAAGATGCTCACATGAATGAAGGACATGTTAGCATTCTCATATGACAAAGAATACATCTGACCCACATTGTGGCAGGAAACAGGGATAAGGGCTCTCAGAGCTGATGCCACGTATCCACTGAATAAATCCCCGTTTAAAGAGAGGTTGTTTCCTTGGATTCTATCATCTTGGATGTAACTACCAGCCAGGTCTCCACAATCTTCCCAGAATCCTTTACTCCAGCACCAGTCCATGCACTTTGCCTTGCTACTCCCATCTCAAGATCGAGGCCAACAGCCCCATGTCTCACTCACCCAGGCTGCCTCTGGAATCCTGCAGCACATCTCTTTTGTATGCTGCTGCCCTGCCACCCTCAGGGATATGGTTAGGGTTTAGGGAAGTGGGGGAGAACATATCATGTTACCAAAAGCAAACAGCAGGGTTACATTTAGTAAATGACACTTGGGTATAAGCCTAACAACTCACAGAACACATACTTTCTCCCCAAATGATACAAAATCCCCTAAAGCAATTTAACACGTATGAATGATTCTATATGCCAGGCACAAGGATACAAAGTGGATGGTGTTCACTTCCATCATACTCTGCACATAGTAGGAAATTAGTTGATGAAAGCTGAACCAGATCTATATCCTGGCTCTGTCAGGTTTCTTCTGGCTCTTCCTGACTTTGAATAGTGCCACTGCTTTGCTTCCATCTGTTCTGGGCATTTGTTCGTTTTTCAAAAAAGAGGGTTAAAAGGATGGAGGTGGCAACGAGAGAGAGGGTGGAAGGGGAGAAGAGGGAAAACAACCTTGTACAAACAGAACAAAAGCAATACAAAAATCCAGAAACCAGATTTAGTACAATAATATTTTATAATAATGGAAAGTAGTTGAAAATACTATATGCTAACACAGACAATATGATACACAACCTCAGGGGGAGGAGTCAGTAGGGAAAGTGTGGCAGAAGCCACAGGTTTAGACTAAGAGGCTTTCAATGGACTGCTGAATGGATTGGATCTGCTGCTTCAGCTGTGAACCTTCTTTGATGGTGACAGAACAGACGATGACAGGCCTGGAGACCTCACAGGCCCACCCCAGGGCCTGCTTGGAGTACACAAACACCATGTAGGGCACATTCTTGTCTTCACACAGCAGTGAGAGGTGCAGAATGATCTCCAGTGGCTCAGCATCTGCAGCCATCACAATGAACTCAGAGATGCCCCTGTTGAGGGTTTTGGTGGCCTCATTGGCTCCATTCCGAAGTTGCTTGTAGTTACATGACTGCTGAACAAGGTCCAATAGCTTCTTGGAGAGATGGGCATCTGCAAGGGGCTAGGCCTTCGGATTTACATCAGCCTCAGTCATGGCTGCGGTTCCACAGGCTCCCCACTCCTCAGTGAGCACAGCCGACGTCAGAGTAGCAGCACCCAGCCTCCACTCTTATTACAGAGTCCTTTTCCCAAAGCAGCTGGGTTTATCTAAATAAGGGCCAGCCCAGGTCATTTCCTGTTCAAAGGCCCCCATTGCTCCTCACCACACCAAAAACAAATCCATATTCCTTACTAAGGACGCTGGAGACTGGATTTGCTGACCTCTTCACTTCTTCCACAACCAGGCTCAGACACCTGCACCTTCTTTGCTTTTGACCCTGTTTAGCTTCTGTCCCTCAGGATTTTTCCACTGGCTGCTGTAGCCTAGAATGCCCCTCTTCTTGATCTCCCCATGATGGGTTATCCAGATTGCATCCTGATGTCTCCTCTGAGGCTCTCCATCCCCTGGTTCTCATTCCCCGGTATTTTTCTGCCTTCTATATCCAGTCTGTTAACAGTTAGACTTACTCTTTAGCCTAGACTGCGATCATAGAGCAGCCTCAGGAGATAGGCTCTGACCCTTCCAACCAGAGAGCATCGTCCTCCCTCACCCCTGCACCGACCCTCAGTTGGTGCATGCGGAGGTGGGGGTTGCAAAGAACATGCTGATGGTTGCTTGTAGCCGCTGGACCGGCAGATAGCCGCACGCTCCCCACTAGAGGGCGGTCCTGCCCAGCTCGGCGCGGACGCGGGCCGGTAGGGCGATGGCTGGGCCTTGCCCGAGGCCCCTCCTCAGCCAAGTGAGGCCCCTCCTCTGCACTGTTCGGGAGAGAGACCGAACCCCAGTTTCATTGCGTCCAGGGAGTGTCCTGGCCAGCCTCAAGAAACGAGTCCAGTGGGTCAGACCCCGACAATCGGGGGTGCTCTGCCCACATGCGGGCGCAGCACGGGGTCCCCGTGGAGGGACCGCTATTCCACGATAGCATAAACGGGGAAAATGAGGGCATGACCTGCTCACACAGCCAACGCAGGGTCAGCTCGACCGCCTGAAGCATCTGGGCTCTGGGACCCCAGGGTTCGACTTCCATTACAACCCCGCCCCTCCCCTAGAGCCACTGCGGAGCTGGGAGGGGACGCCCAGGTTACCCACCCAGCTGGGTGAGGGGCGGGGCCGTTCAGCCCCGCCCCCCCCCCCCCCCCCGCGGCCCCGGGGGCGGGACGTGGCTGCCAGATGTTGGGGCGGCGACGTCTGGAGCTACGGAGAGCGAGGAGCCAGGCGGTGGCTGAGGGTGCCGCTGGCCGGCCGGGCCCGCCCTCTCCGCACAGCTCCCGCCGGGGTTCCCAGAGGAACTGGCAGCCCTGGTGGGGGCTCCAGCACGGACATGCATAGCGCTCGGCTTGACAGCTTCCTCAGCCAGCTCCGCTGGGAACTGGTAAGGCTTGGGAACGGCTGTGGTTCGTGAGGACGTGTGCGGGGTACCGGAACAGCAAACGGGTGCGGGGTCGTCCCGGTGTGCCCATCCGTGGCGGGATGGGGGCGGGGCGGCGCGGCGCAGATGGCCCAGATGGCCCGCGTCGGGTTTCGGACGTTTGGAAGCTGCGCTGGGCATCAGGTAACAGCCATCCAGCGGGCCTTGCTGCTAGGGAGGCGGGGGAGAAGAGTAGAAGGGGGAACTTCTTTTGGGGCGAGGTATGGGGCGGCAAGGGATTAAAGAGGTGCTGGCACTGCTGTGAACGACCCCAACCTAAGGCTGGCCTGTACCTCCTTCCTCTACCCCTCACTTAGCAAGCGTTCTGTTTCTGAAAGACGTCTGGGCTTTGGGGAGCTGAATCCTCCAAGAGGCACGCGATGCCCCTCCAGACCTGGGCAGGACCTACTTCCCCATTCAAGTCCGCAACCCTGCCTGCCTGCCCTGGTGGCGGGTGCCGACTTGCCCGGCCCTGCGTGCTGCAGCCTGCCGGACTGCCACCAGGTCGGAGGAAGAGAGTCACACGAGCTTCGTGTGCCAGCACCTTCATGCCGGCCCTGTGCTTACTAAAGTAGCCTTGCTGCCCGGGGCAGTGGGCCTATCAAGTCTTCCTGGACACTCTGTTTTCAGGGCTGGCCTGGCAGACAGGCAGGGGTGACAATTGATACCTCTCCGACTTCTGCCCTTTCTTTCCTTCAGCTGTGTGGCCGGGACACAGGCTCACCCCCAGTGCCTGGTCCCCTGCAGCCACCCCCCCAAACTGGCCCAAGTGTGCAGCCCAGCCACCAGCTTAGGACCTCAGGTGCCTTGGAAGAGGACTCAGTCTGCTGTGTGGAGGAAGAGAAGGAGGAGGAGGAAGCACTGACAACAGAAGACAGGGGTGCAGCCTTGGGGGATCCCAGGGAGCATGCTCTAGACTGGGACTCTGGCTTCTCGGAGGTGTCAGGCAGCACATGGCGAGAAGAAGAGCTGCCTGTACCCCAGTGCCCAGCACCCCCAGCACGGCCCCCTCATAGCCAGCGCCTCTCAGTCAGTGGCCTCTCCCTGCTCAGGAGGGCCCCTGTAGCCAGTGCATCGCATGCCCATCGTCCCCGGCCCAAGTCCACCCCAGATGCCTGCCTGGAGCACTGGCAGGGACTGGAAGCAGAGGACTGGACAGCAGCCTTGCTGAACAGGGGTCGCAGTCGCCAGCCCCTGGTGCTGGGGGACAACTGTTTTGCTGACTTGGTGCATAACTGGATGGAGCTACCAGAGACATCAGGAGAAGAAGGTGATGGAGGTGGACAGCGTGCCCGTGCTCGGCCCCCTCAGTTCCTGCTTGGCCTCTCTGAGCAGCTTCGGCGCCGGCTGGCCAGGGCTCGGCGGACAGCTATGGCAGGAAAGCGGCTGTCATGCCCACCTCGCCCAGAACCCGAGCTGCCTGCAGACATTTCACGCTTTGCAGCCCTTATGAGCTGCCGCAGCCGCCAACCCATCATCTGCAATGATGTCAGCTACCTCTGACCCTGCCCTCCAGCCTGGGACAATAAAGTCCTTTTTCTAGACTATCCTGGCTCCATAGACTGTCCTGAGGCTCCAGGAGGCAGCCCCAGCCCTGTGAGGCAGAGCCCAGGCAGGCAAATCTTCTGAAGAGCTTTTTGTCTCCCTTAGAGGGTCCCTGTCACGCCCGTGTCACACCCATGTTCTTTACTGCCCCATATTTTACTATCCATCCTCTCCAATATGCCGTCTTTCAACAAGCATTTATTGAATAGCTACTGTAGGCTTAAGATACAGGGCTTGGGATGTAGATCTCAGTCAAGTAGGGTGATGGGGTAACTGCTTTGTCACAGTTCATAGTGCAGAGGTGGAAAAACAGTGTCCTCTTCACCCTCACAGCTCAGCTTCAGTACCAGCACCCTCATCTTAGGATCAGGCTCCCGGCCTGTCACCTGCTTAACCAGTTCTGTCACCCTAGTGGGGGGGAGCGGAGTTTAAGGGAGATTGGGGAGGTGAGCAGTGGCAGGCAGAGGGTAACCTGGCATGGACTAGAGGGTGCTGGCAGGCCATCAGGAGCCCAAGCCAGGAGCAGGAGCAGCTCAAGACAGGAAACATCTGAAACTATTTTAGGAGTGGCTGGCGGGGCAAGCAGGAGGCAGGAAGCCATGGGTCTCCTGGGAATGGGCTGTAAAGGGGGGCTGTGCCTGCTGTGGGGGAGCCAGTGGGGCTGGCCAAGTAGGCAGCTCCTGAAGGCCCCTCCTCAGGCGCTCAGCTCTCGCCCCACCCGAGCCCATTTGCTGGCTCCATTTGGTGAAAGAATTCTTTGCGAAGGTGTGAGGGGCCCAGAATGGGGATGGGAAGAGGAAAAAAAGCCTGTGTGTCCCCCATCCCCAATCTCCAGGGACAGGTGAGGCCTGGCTAAACCAACATGTGGGCTCACCTGAGGGGCAAGCGCTGGGCTTGTTTTTCAGGTGACCATCCAGCTGAATAGAGCAGGGCTGGGCCATGCATCAACATCCTCACCCTCAGCCCATGTTGCTCCTAGAGAGAGTCAGGTCAGTTGCCAGCTGGGTCAGGGTGGGCTGAGCCTGGGGACAAGGCAGGGACAGGGCACACCTGGAGATGGGCCAGCAGCAACTCCAGGGTCTTCTCAGGTTGCCCAGCAGGCACCTTCAGGTGGTCCCAACAGGTCCACTTCAGATGGTGGAACTGGATTGGGGTGGGAAGGAGTGAGAAACTTCTTACACGCCACACCCAACCCCTATCCCAGTTACTAGCAGACTTTCCTAGGGGAGGAGTTGAACTAGAGGCAGGAAATAGGAGCCAAGGGGTGGGGGGTGGAAGGTGGGATCTTGGCCCAGAGTCTCAGCCCCCTCCCTGCCCATGCTGGGGCCAGCACAGGAAATGGGGCTATGGGGCCCCACACAGGGAAACAGACAATCCATCACACCAGCCAGTTGGGGGGAGGGAAGGAGAATGAGGGGGTGGTGCTTCCTGAGGAAGCCAGTGCAGGGCCCCTGCAGTCTCCGATAAAGCTGCTTGTTCCTCAAATACAAGGCTGGGAGCTGCAGGCCACATCCTGTCCCCCAATCCTGTGCTACCACTCATGGGACACAGGCCAAAGGGCACAGTGACCACCAGGGTCCCACTGGTCCAGAGACTCCAGCAGGGACACAGACTATGGAGGTTTCCTCTTCCTGTTCCCTCTTTCCTTCTCTATTTCAAGAGTCTTGAGGTTCTGCTGCCTAGAGCTGAGGACAGAAAGTTGGCCAGCAGGGATCCAGAGGCCAGGAAAAGGGCCTTGCCAGCCTCACGGGAAACACACTGGGGTCAAACAGAGACTAGGATAGAGGCAAGATGGGGGCTCCTGCCCCTCCTCCTTCACTCCGTGGACAAAGGCAGCCTGTGTGCTGGTTAAAGGTGGGTGCCTCACAAAGGGGCTCTGTGTGCTATGGATGGAGGAACCCCGGGGCTGCTCAGCAAAAGCCCAGTGCTGACCCATGACCTGTGCCCTCTCTTCTGGTAAGGGCATTCCCTCTGCCCTCCCATCTGTGCCCCAAGGAAATGTCAATGACTGCAGATCCAGGGCACATGGCTGGAGGTTTTTACAGCCCTGTGCTCACAGAAATACACTGTACATAAGCCCAGGAATACATGCATGGGTACCCACAGGCGCATCCTTGCAAGCCCACATAGAGGAAGAGCCCTGGACTCTCCCATCTGGCACACAGATGTGCAAGCTTGCTCCCTCTGTGCCCACACACAAGGGATGCCCAGACCCCCAGAGAAGTCACACCTGTGACACAAATACACACACACACACACACACACACACACACACACACACACACACACACAGCTGCAGACCCCACATCCCTGGTGGCAAGCTTTTTAACTCAGCTTACAGGAGGTAGACCAGGGCCCCCATGCAATGCAGGGGGAAGCTAGGCTTTTTGAGGTGGGGCCCTACTCCTTCCTCCCCACCACCTCCCACAGGGGGACTCCTGGGAAGGAGAGGGCTGTGGGGGATGTCTGGCTCCACTAATGAGTTAAAGCTGCAGCTCTCCAAGACTCTGGGCTATGGAGGATTGGGGGGTGGGGATGGCTGACGGCTGCTTCCTGTGTCTGACAGGTCCCCGCCTGGCTTCATAGCAGTAAGCAGACCATCAGGAGTCTTGAGGACTCTGGCACAGTCTGGGTCCCAGTAAGAGCCAGCAGCTAGAGTGGGGCCTGTTCGGGTGGGTGCAGAAGGAACCCAGGCCTAGTGTAGTAGGAGGAGGGTATCAAAGGCTCACCGTATGAATGGTTGGGGCGAAAGGCACATAGCGGATGAGGTAGTTTTCAGCCAGGTGCAGATAGCTGTGGCGAAAGGCACTGAGGGGCCGTGGCCCACTCACTACCTTATACAGTTCCAGGCCTACCAGGCCTGCCACAGCTGCTGTTGTGGTGGCAATGGCTGGGATAATCCGGCCCACGATTCGCTTACTCTGCCAAGGATAGGAGATTTGTCTGGGCCCAAGGTTTGGCCCCTGCCTCCAGGCCTGAGCCCCGAGAGGCAAGGATTACCTGGGCACGGTTGACTGGTGGGATCCCATAGTTCTGAGACCGCAGGTTAGCTGCCGCTGCCACAAAGTCCACATGGAAGTTGCTATCATCATCCTGTGAGGTCCAAGTCATGGTAGTGTTAACACTGAAGCAGTGCCCCTCACCATAGCCAACTGTATGCCACTGCACAGGTCTTCACACAGTTCTGTGGGGTGGATGCTCACCATCTCCCCATTCATCAGATAATAAGGGTGATGTTCAGGGAAGGTGAACTGCTTCCAAAGCTTTGCTGGGAGAATTCAGGCCAAAGTGCTCCCAGACTCTTAGCTCCTGACCTTCCTCCACAATCTCCCCAACTCGACTCCTTGTCCCTACTTGGGCTCCCACCTTCTCAAACATCAGAGGCTTCAGTGGAGGACCCATGCTCCAGATGTTCAGGGCTTCATTCAATTCCTTTAACTGCTCAGGACCTGTCAGGGGAAGGGGATTGTTGGGGCAGTCCTTAGCTCCTGTCTCCTGCACTCTTCCCGGAGGCTGATGCCTATTCTGGTCTCTACCAAGCCTATCCTCACCTGTGGGCCATAGCTAGACACTCCCCAGTGCCCAGTGGATTTTATTTGTTTATTTTTCTTCGGTCATCTTTCAAGAGAACTTGGACTTGGGGTAGGCAGCAAGGAGAAGGCATACTAAGGAACCAGAGGATAGGCCTAAGCCTAGAGTGACACGAAGTCAGAGGGCCTAAGAGATAGTGAATTTAATGTAGGTCCTCTAGGCCCAATCTTCCTTGTGCAGTACAGGTTGAGGACAGGATAGGCTTAGGCCTTTGAGTGGCAGCATGTGCCAGGGGTGGGGGGATCATGTGTGTGTGGGGAAGGAGAGGTCAGGGCCAGGAGCCTCACCAAACTCAGCAGAAGCAGAAGCCAGCTCTAGGTTATCATTGAAGGTGGGTACCAAGTGCTGGAGGTCAGGCTGTGGCAGCTGCTCCAGCAGCCCCCTGAGCTCGGTCTTATCCTGTGAGCCAGGCAGCCCATGCATCTGAGCATACAGATTGGCAGCTGCCAGCACATAGAGGAGGTGTGTGTCCTGCAGCCAGACCAAGAACAGGAGCAGATGCAGAGGTACAAGTAAGCATGTATGGGTGCATGCCCATTTGTAGGGTCTAAGTGCCTGCCTTTGCCTCACATGTGGACAGGCACATGTGCACAAACACGCTTCTTTCTCTCTCAGCATCTGTGCATCTCTGCAGAATTCAGAGGTGTCTACCTCTGTTCTGAGGGCCACATCTTATAGCTCCCTAGGGAACCCTACTCACTTGGCTGGTGTCAAACTCCAAGGGCTGGGGACACTGTTTGGGACCTGACCAGAAGGGAGTTCCATCCTCAAGCACCTAGGGAAATAGAAGATGCTGGGCTCAGTCTGGTCCCCCTGAGCCCTCAGCCTCCCGATCCCTAGCCACCCACTTTATCTGATGGGAAACGCCTCAGCAGCTGTTTGATGCCATAATGGAAGCATAGTTGCCAGTGGCCAAGGGCCCACACCACGCAGTCTCGCCAGGTCTGTGGACGTGCTCTCAGGACTCCCAGCACTGGTTGCAGTAAGGACAGTGTCTGTGCCATGTCCATGTCTTCCAGAGAAGTGTGTGCTCTGCAGAGAGAGGAGGAAGTTTGAGGCTGGGCCTTGCAGACTCTGGTGCTTGGAGCCCTGGGCTCTGTCAACCTCTGTTGATAGTCTTACTGTTGATGGTGGTTGATAGTCTCTGCAGACAGTTGGAAGAGTCCCTCAAACTCATCCCGAGCCCACTGTGGAGGAAGGAAGATCAATGAGGTGCCAGATGGGGAACAGGTCTGCAGATGAGGGTTCAGCTGGATGGGTGGTGGTCTCTAGGGTGCTTTCTACCTGCAGGGTGTGCTCGACTGTGCTGGGGAAGTGCCGCACGGTACAGACAGGGTAGGTGTCATTCTCAGAAGCTGCAGCTGAAGTGGGGGCTCTGTAGACCTCAGTCACATGTGGCATGAACACTGAAGCACTGCCCTGGGTGCCTTTTGTGCCCGCCTCCAGCAGCGGTTTCATATAGTGGGTGCATCGGGCAGCCACATAGCTCCCTGGCAGGGGGGCAGAAGGTCAGAAGTGGGTATGGCACAGTGTAGGGCAAAGGACTGAGCTCCAAAGGGAGACACTCACGGGCCTGGAAACTGTCCAGAGCAGCTGCCACACCGTCCACACAGGAGAAAAAGTCGTCCCCATAGATGTGTTCTGTAGTGGGATCCAGTGGGTGGGTATGCACAGTCACCTGTAAGTCTGGGTTCAGACCCTGGGCAGCTGCTGCAGCCACTTCTGCCTTTGGCCTCTGGGAAGAAGGCAGAAAGATGTTGGGTGGGGAGGTGTGTGAGAGGACAGTCTGGGACACAGGAGTGTGGGAAGGGGCTGGCACTCACACCAATGTCCTGGGGCCTGAAGAGGAACTGACGGCAAAGGTTGGAGCGCTCTATGTGGTCCATGTCAGCAACAGTCAAGCCGCCGCCGACTCCGGCCCCCAGGCCTACTAGGGCAAAGCCTTTGAGCAGTTCACAGCCAATAGCACCAGCGCCTACCTGCTGGCAGGAGAAGCCTTAGCCATAGGGCTGGTCCTGGCTCTCCCAAAGGCACTCCCAACCTCACCCCACAGCTCACCAGGAGGTAGTGCTGGCGACTCAGTTTCTCCTGAAAACCAGCCCCAAACACTGCAATTTGCCCATCGTAGCGGCAGTGTCTCTAGGGAACACAGACAGGAGTCAGTGATGACTATTGTCCTGCATCTCCTTCTTACACTGAGTTTCCTGAATCAGAACCATTCCACATGTTTTCTTCAGGACCATTCCTCGTGTTTTTCCCCTAGCCCTGATTTTGAGCAAGGTTTACACCCCTACCCCAGAATCTCACCGGGGCACAGTCCTTAGAATTGGGAAGGAGCTCCTCATTTTCCGGAAGACAATCAAGGGCATCAAAGTATAGCCACTGGTCCAGAGGCATGAACTTCTTGGAGATTGCCTGAGGGCGGCATTTCAGACTGGGACTCCCCCCACTTTCCAAGTCCTTCAGATGCTGGCTGGAGGCTGCACCCAGGTTGGTGAAGCCTCCAGGGCCACTGTCTAGTGCTGAGTGCCCTGTGGCACACACACTGACCTCCATACCTTCCCAGTCTCCCCACCCCACCTATGTGCCAACCTTCAGCACTTCCTGGGCAGCCACTGCACCCAGCATGGTTGCCATGGGGCTCAAGATACCAGCACTACTCAGGGCGACTGTCCGCACTAAGACTTCATCCAGTGGCTCTTCCGATGGCTCTTCCTCTGTGCCCTTCAGTGGTTCCAGGTCCAGTGCCAGACCCACCACAGTCTCTGCATCAACCTGTGAGATGAGATGATGTGGGCATAGTAGCCCCAGCCTGAACTCCACTCCCTTCAACTCGAATCCTTTCAGCAGCCAGCTCTCTTGTTCTACAGGAGAGGAGGCAGAAGCCTGGGTGGGAAGGTCTGGCCCTGTTGCCTGCTTGCGCAACACCAGTAGTAGATGCCCAGTACCACAGCAGCCCAGAAGTCTTCGACAATCTGGGTGCAGCTTCCAGTCCATCTCTGAGAAGGTAGGATGTAGGAAGGGTCCCCAGAATGTATGCCCAGTGCTTCCATGGAACCAGCCTCTAGTCCAGAGATAATATTTTTCATCTCCTTTTTATGAGTGGGAAACTGCCTCTGGAATTCATACTTGGATCTGTGAATGGTCATTATTGCATTCTGGCAGGTGAGACTCCAGTAAGACAGAGGCTAGGGTTGGGGGCAACAGGGCTACTCACAGGATCCCAGGGCTGGGGTGGCCGGCCCTTGAGGTGCTGGAACTTGTGCAGTGCACGGAAGGCCTGATGCAGGCAGTGGGCACGGTGGACTGCCTGGGCACTCGGGGCCACCACACGAGGCTGGAGCAGAGCTGTGTCCAGGGGCTTCTACAAGGGCAACTGGCTCATGGTCTGACCCAGAATACTGTGGGCCACCCCCTACAAAATACCCAAGCTCCCCTGCCTCAGATGCACTTGAACTCACATGTCTCACAGTCTTGGGTCTCTTGACTTCGATGATAGCCCCACCACGCAAGTAACGAGAGAAAGTAGTTGTGTCCCCAATCTCCAGGGACTGGTCCTCTGGGGGAGATCCAGCCTAGTAAGTACGACCCTTGAACCTGAGTAGTTCTCACACCCCATCCTATCTTGAATCTGTGTCCCACCTTGCTGTACCCTGAGGAAGATAAAGGGAAAACCGATCCCCAAGGATAAGGCTACGTTTACCCCCCAGTTGAGGCTTGGACACTGAGCCTGGAGTTGGAATGTGATTGACTTACTCCGCACGTGGATGGACCGAGGAGCACAGCCGTTGAGCTCAACCATGCCCTCAATGCCTGAGAAAGTCACCAGGTCCCCATCACGAAAGTAGTGGGTATTAGTCTCTTTCCTCAGAGTGAGAATGCCGGGGGAGCCCTGGGTGGAAAGTGGCTTGGCTCAGGGCTGCCTGTACTTGCCTTTCACTGGCCCTGGCAGCCCCTCCTTGGTCAGGTGAATGCCCATAGCTCAGCACACACCTGGGAGATGTACTGGATGGCAGCTGTCAGGGGTTCTGCCTCTGTAAGGTCCTGCACGATGAAGTTCTCACCAAAGTCACAAAACAACTGTCTGGGGGATACAGCAGCAGGGGTCACGGAGATGGCTTACAGGTTGTGGGGGTAAGGGATACTAGGGCAAGTCTTGAGGGCTAGAATTGGAAAAGGAATGCTAGGAGAGGCTTGAGAACCAGAGTTTGAGAGAGTTACTAGAACAGGTCTGGAGGCTGGGAAAGAGGAACGAGAGGAGTGGTACTAGGGGCAAGAATCAGGAGGGATTGCTGAGGTTGGGTACAGGGGCACTGGAGCAAGCCCGGAACTGGGAATAGCACTGGGACCAGTTGCTGACTGTAATGTGGTAGGCTGAGCAGGCAGTCTCACTCACCCCACGAGGCCCCGGGTGTCAGCCACCAGAAAGCAGACTCCGTGCTTGCGGCACAAGGTGCCCACCCTCAGCTGCTCCTCCAGCTTCGAGGCAGTCAGCACCACCACCTGGGTGGATTCCATGATCAGCAGGGCCAGAATCAATGCCCAGCCTTCCCTGTTCTTGAGGGCTGGAGGAGGGGACTCGGCTGACCTGGAAGTCTGACAGCAGTTCCTCGGTGATATCATCTCTGTGCACAAAGATCTGGACAACTCTGTTTAGCTGAGACAAGGGCTCTTGAGAAGCCTCAGCCCTGCTCCTTTCCAAGTCCTGCTCTGAGAAGAAAAACTAGAAAGAGCCCCAGTGCAGCATGAGCAAAGAGACTCCTCTTGGGCCCTGCCCCCACCCTGGTCTGGGAGCCCATAGCCCCCCAGGATGCTTACCTGGGCAGCCAGGTCAGACCAGCAGGTGGGGCGGGGGTCATGTAGAGTGAGGCTGCCCACACCCATCAGAACCAAGTTCTTGGCCACCTCAGCCCCCAGGCCCTGTAAGCCTGACAGTAGGACCTTGGCTCCCTGAATCCTCTGCATGGCAGTTGAGCCGAGCACATACCTGTGGATGGGAAGTAGGAGAGCAAGCAGTTGTAGATGGGAGGATGAAGGCCACCCCACCCTCCCCGACCTCGGGCCTCACAGCTGTCTTGAGTACAGCTCCTCATCCAGCAACTTGGAAGTCTCCAGGACATTCATTCTCAGGTCTGGGGCTGAACCACAGGCTGCAGTGCTCAAAGAGTCTTTGTGTGGGAGGCAGTGACAGCAGGGGCCAGTGTCCCACTGCAGCCAGTGCAGACAGAAACTAAGGCCGAAGGAGTGAGGAATGCTGCTGGTCACAGCTCTCTTTCTGGCTTCTCTCATTTCAAGGAAAACAAAAGTGAAAGCTAAATTAGACTTTGAGCCAGTTCCTGGTCCTGCCTGGTGTTCTCGACAGATGCCAACCCTAGATAAGCCAGTCAGGGTCTATCAGCTAGGATAGGTCTCAGGATGGACCATTGCTCCCCACAAAATTCCATAATGGCTAAATCAAGTGCTGTCATAAGGTTTTTTTGTCGTTAATTGAGGTGAAATTCATGTAACACAAAATTAACCATTTTAAAGTATACAAGTCAGTGGCATTTAGTGTATCCCCAATGTTATGCAGTTTTCAAATATTTTAATTACCCCAAAAGAATGCCCCAAACACAATGAGTAATTACCACACGCCCCCAACCCCTAGTGCAATCCACTGACAAATACTAATATGCTTTCTGTCTCGGGGATTTGGCAAGTTTGGATATTTCATATGAAAGGAATCACAAAATGTGACCTTTTCTGTCAGCTTTTTTTCACTTAGCGTAATGTTTTTGAGGTTCATCAAAGTTGTAGCCTGTATCGCTATTTCATTCCTTTTTATGGCCAAATAATAAGCCATTGTATCTATATACTATAATTTGTTTCTCCATCCATCCATTGGTGGACATCTGGGCTGTCTCCACCTTTTGGCTATCGTGAATAGTGCTGCTATGGTCCTTCTTGAACAAGTATTAATTTGAGTACCTATTTTCGGTTAATTCGGGCAGATAACTAGGAGAAAGTTGCTGGGCCATATGGTAATTCTGTGCTGAACTTTTTGAGGAACCAAAAACCAAACTGTTTTTCACATTTTACAGTCCCACAAGCAATGTGCAAAGTTCCTATTTATCTACATTGTTGTCAACACTATTTTTTTCCCTCCTTTTTAAAAAAAAATTATACCCATCCTAGTGAGTGTGATAAACTAGGTCATTGCGATCTTTTGTTTGTTTTCATTCAATAACATTTACTGGGTGCGACAGATGTACCAGGTATAGAAACCAGGGCTGGATTTTGAAGTAAAGTGCTATATTTGATAGACACCAAAGAGTACTTAAGGAAATTCTACATCTATTTCTTATTATTTTTTTTTTTGAGTTGGAGTCTCACTCTGTCGCCAGGCTGGAGTGCAGTGGCATGCTCCCAGCCACCACAGAATCAACCTGCTGGGCTCCAGCGATCCTTCCGCCTCAGCCTTCCAAGTAGCTGGAACTACAGGCACGCGTTACCACGCCCAGCTAATTTTTTGATTTATTGTAGAGATGAGGTCTC